GGGAATGACAGAAATCCATACTGTGTGTGTGGGAATGACAGAAATCCTGATTGTGTGTGTGGGAATGACAGAAATCCTGGTGTGTGTGTGGGAATGACAGAAACCCTGACTGTGTATGTGTGGGAATGACAGAAATCCTGGTGTGTGTGTGGGAATGACAGAAATCCTGGTGTGTGTGTGGGAGTGACAGAAATCCTGATTGTGTTTGTGGGAATGACAGAAATCTTGACTGTGTGTGTGGGAATGACAGAAATCCTGATTGTGTGTGTGGAAATTACAGAAATTCTGGTGTGTGTGTGGGAGTGACAGAAATCTATACTGTGTGTGTGGGAATGACAGAAATCCTGACTCTGTGTGTGGGAATGACAGAAATCCTGGTGTGTGTGTGTGGGAATGACAGAAATCCTGACTGTGTGTGTGGGAATGACAGAAATCCTGATTGTGTGTGTGGGAATGACAGAAATCCTGGTGTGTTTGTGGGAGTAACAGAAAACCTGCTTGTGTGTGTGGGAATGACAGAAATCCTGATTGTGTGTGTGGGAATGACAGAAATCCTGATTGTGTGTGTGGGAATGACAGAAATCCTGGTGTGTTTGTGGGAGTAACAGAAAACCTGATCAGTATTTTGTGGAATAACAGAAAATTCTGATCAGTGTTTTGTGGGAATAACAGAAATAGTGATTGTGTTTTCTGGGAGTAACAGAAAATCCTGATGTGTGTTTTGTGGGAATAACAGAAAATCCTGATGTGTGTTTTGTGGGAATAACAGAAATCTTGATTGTGTTTTGTGGGAGTAACAGAAAATCCTGATCAGTGTTTTGTGGGAATAAAAGAGCAAAGGAACTCCAAGCTTACTTAAACTGGCCATCTAAAACCCAACGTGTTTTGTGGGAATAACAGAAATCCTGATGTGTGTTTCGTGGGAATAACAGAGAAAAAAAATGATCTGTGTTTGGTGGAAATCACAGAAATCTGGATGTGTGTTTTGTGGGAATAACACTGCAAAATCCTGTGTTTTGTCGGAATAACAGAAAACCTGATGCGTGTTTTGTGGGAATAACAGAGCAAAATCCTGATTGTTTTGTGCAATAACAGCGAAGAAACTCCAAGCTTACTTGCACTGGTATCTAAAACCTGATGTGTGTTCTGTGGGAATAAACAAAGGAACTCTGAGCTTACTTGCACTGGACATTTGAAACCTGATGTGTGTTTTGTGGGAATAACAGAAAATATGATGTGTGTTTTGTGAGAATAAACAAAGAAACTCCGAGCTTACTTGCAGTGGCATCTGAAACTCTCAGCGGGGCTGGCAACGCTCAGTGGAACATGTGAGCCTCAGTTCCTGCAGTAAGAAAATCCGGCCTGGCAAAAGTCAGGAGTTTTATTTACAAATCCAGCAGCAGGAGCAGCAGCAGGAGCAGGAGCAGAGCAGGAGCAGGCTGCAGCTGAAAGCAATGATTTATTGGGAATGGCAGCAGACCCGGGGACAGCGCCTGGCACTGCCCAGACCATCATCCGGGAACGGAGAGCAGCGCAGCCGGGCCAGGCCACGCGGCGCCGCTCCTCTAGTGGCTCTCTCCCTTCTTGCCCACTACCTGCAGGAGGAAAAGCAGCGGTGAAGGGGCAGGGCCGCTGGGCAGAGCTCCGGGAGCCAGGACAGCCGCGGGCTCCGGGCTGGGAAAGACCCTGGCTGGGCTGGGCTCAGCCAGGCCGGGCTCAGGGCAGCGCTCAGTCCAACAGGAACAGCCCAGCGCAGCTCCAGCTTGGGCCAGGGCACCAGGAGCAACTCAGCTGCCAGCAACACTCCTCCCCACTAAGTTCCTTTTCTTCCTACCCAAAATTCACCTTTTTCCCCCCCAAAAATGCCTATTTTTCACCCAGATATTCAAAATTTCCCCCCACAAATGTCGCCTTTTCTTTTCCTCAAAATTGCCTTTTTTTACCCCCCAAAATTCCCATTTTTGTACCATAAATATTGCAGCAGTTTTTTTAAAGTAAGACTTTTTACAACGAAGTTGCCAAAAGAGAGTCCCAAAATCAAGAAGTGAATGTCACAGCAATTAAAAAAGATGCTGCCTTTGGTGTGTATAACCTCCAGCCCCTCAGTTGACACCATTTCCTTTTACCAGGCTGATGACTGAACGTTGTGGATAGCTCAGGAACATGCAGGACAGAGGCAGACACCCCCCCAGGTGCCCTGAGTGTGGAACTGTGTCCCCCCAGGTGTCTGTCCCCCCACCCAGCCCAGAGCAGGCTCCAGCTGCTCCCCAGGGGTTAGCAAGGGACTCACTCGTTTGAAGTCGTTCATGTTGGTGGCCTGCACCGGAGTGCCAATAAATGTGAAATACGTGATTCGTGTCGTCTCCTCGTCACCATGATTGGACTGGACAAACAACTGCAGAGGGAAACAGCCAAAAAAAGGACTTTAACTTCATCCTGCATCGGTACCTACAGCATCAGCTGCTCCAGGTGTGAAGTGTCCAAGTGAAAGCTTGCTCCCCATCACAAAGGTGTCTCTCTGTCCTCTCATTTCAGCAGTTCTGTCGAGAACACTGCTGTTTCCCTGGCAGCTGGCTAAAGTCCCCAGCTGGCACTTCCCAGCTCCCAGCCCAGCAGGAGCAAAGCAGCCCCAGCTCTGGGCAGACCCCCCAGCTCCGGGCCGCCGCGGCAGCGCAGGCACTCACAGTGACGCTGTTGACGTTCTGGAACTTGACGTAGCGCAGCTGCACGATGCCATCCTCCCGGATGTCCTCCGGGCCCAGCTGCAGCGCCTGCGTGGGCTCGCTGCGCTCTGCCTCCTCGAAGTCCATGGAGCGCGGCAGGTTGGTGAAGATCTTGATGCCCTTGGGCCCCTGCCCTGGGACAGGGAGAGAGCAGAGTGAGGGACAGGCCCAGGGAAGGAATGGCAGAGTCCGTTCTGCAGGAAATGTCAGGGCACAGTGCAGGCTGGCACAGTTACAGGGCATGGGGAACCTGTGAGGGAGCCTCCCTTCGGCCTGCACGCGCATCCAGTGTGCCTCTGCAGCTACCGAACCACAAACACTTTCTTGGGGTGTCAAACTGCACTGAACACTTCTACTTGTGCATGAAACTACAGTGCATACTTCTACTTCAGTATCAAACCAAAATAAACACTTTCTTTGTGTATCAACCTACAGTAAATATTTCTATTTGTGTATCAAACTACAGTAAATACTTCCTTTGTGTATCAACCTACAGTAAATATTTCTACTTGGGCACCAAACTACAGTAAACACTTGGTGTGTCAAATTGCAGTAAACATTTTGTGTATCAAACTACAGTAAAGATTTTTATTTGTGTATCAACCTATAGTAAAAATTTCTATTTGTGTATCAAACTACAGTAAATACTTTTATTTGTGTTTCATTGTGTATAAAACTACAGTAAATAATTTGTGTCTCAGTCTATAATAAATACTTCTATGTGTGCATCAATCCCTAATAAATATTTGTTGTAGTTTGTATATCAAACTACAACAAATACATCTGTATCACTCTATAATAAATATTCCTGTTTGTGTATAATCTATAATAAACACTTCCATGTGTGTATTAATCTATAAATACCTCTATTTGTGTATAATCTATAATAAATACTTCTATGTGTGCATCAATCTATAATAAATACTTTGGTTTGTGTATCAAACAACAATATTTCTATTTGTGTATAGTCTGTAATAAATACTTCTATATGTGTGTAATCTATAATAAATACTTATATGTGTGTATTAAGCTGTAAATACCTCTATTGGTGTATCAATCTATAAGAAATATTTCTATGTGTGTATCAGTCTATAATAAATACTTCTATTTGTGTACCAAAGTACTATATAAATTGTGTATCAAATGACAATACATACATCTCTATCAAACTACAATAAATATTTCTACTTATGTGTCCATCTATAATAAATATTTCTAAGTGTGTATTGATCTATAATAAACTTATATGTGTGCATCAATCTATAAGAACTACTTATACGTGTGTATCAATCAATAAGAAATACTTCTCTGTGTGTATCAATCTATAATGATTATTTCTATGTGTGTATCAATCTATAATAAATATTTCATTGTGTGTATCAATCTGGAATACTTCTGTGTGTACATCAAACTGCAATGAATACTTGTGTACCTATCTATGATAACTATTTCTGTGTGTATCAAACCACAATAAATATTTCTATTTGTTATCAATCTATAACAAATATCTCGATGTGTGTACCAATCTATAATAACCATTTCTATGTGTGTATCAATCTATAATGAATACTTCTGTGTGTGTATCAATCTATAATAAATATCTCTCTGTGTATTGATCTATAATAAATACTTACATGTGTGTATCAAACTATAAGAAATACTTTGTGTATTAATCTATAATAAATGCTTCTATGTATCAATTTATAACAAATATTTCTTTGTGTGTACCAATATATAATAAATACTTCTCTGTGTGTATCAATCTATAAATATTTCTATGTGTGTATCAATTTATAACAAATATTTCTATGTGTGTATCAATTTATAACAAATATTTCTATGTATGTATCAATCTATAATGAATACTTCTCTGTGTGTGTGTATCAATCTATAATAGATATTTCTCTGTGTGTACCAATCTCTAATAATTATTTCTATGTGTGTACCAATCTATAATAAATATTTCTTTGTGTGCATCAATGTATAATAAATATTTCTATGTGTATATCAATCGATAGTAAATACTTCTGTTTGTGCATCAGCCTATAATAAATATTTCTATTTATATAACAATCAATAATAAATATTTTTATGTGTGTATCAATCTACAGTACATATTTATATGTATGTATCAATCTATAATAAATATTTCTATGTGTGCATCAATCTATAATAAATACTTCTGTGTGTGTATCGATCCATAATAAATACTTCTATGTGTGTATCAAACTATAATAAATACTTTGTGCATCAATCTACAATACTTAGGTTTGTACAGCAAACTAAAATAAGTACTTCCATTTGCGTATCAATCTATAATAAATACTTCTGTGTGCGTACCAATCTATAATAAATATTTCTTTGTGTTTACCAATCTATAATAAATACTTCTGTGTGTGTATTGATCTATAATAAATATTTCTGTGTGTACCAGTCTGTAATAAATATTTCTGTGTGTACCAATTGATAATAAATATTTCTCTGTGTGTATCAGTCTGTAGTTACTATTTCTATGTGTGTATCGATCTATAACCACTTTGACTTGTGTATCACACTGTAGTGTTTGCCCATCAGTCAGTAAGAAGTAACTCCACCTGCAGCACTCACCGTTGTCTGGCCCCTGAAGTTTCATAGAGTACAGCTTGACAGGCTGGCTAAAAGCTACAGTGATGAGCAGCTGTGGGGGGAAGCGAGCACAGTTACACACGGGTGTCACACAGTTGCACACCCAGCACACGGGGCTGGGCAGCCCTGGAACACAGCAACAAATGCTGTGCTCACTGCCCCTGAGCGCACTCTGGCCCTTTCCCCCCAGCTCACACTCCTGTGCCAGGCCACGCTCAGTGGGGAAAGCGCGGGCACCCCCAGCCGTGTACCCAGGCCTCCTGCGGGCTGCCAGCCTGGTGGGAGCACATCCCGGGATCACAGCAATCCCTGGAGCTGTGGCAGCACAGCCCTGCAGGAGAACACCCCGGGAATGCAGCAATCCCTGCAGCTGTGGCAGCACACCTGCTCGTCGCAGTCGGACTCCAGGTAGGAGGAGTCCTTGCGCAGGCAGTTCTCGAAGCCATGCTCGTCGCTCTCATTGAGGCACTCGCAGCCAGCCTTGTTGATGAAGGGCAGCAGATCCATCTGGGGACAGAGAGCACAGCTGCTCACAGCTGGGACAGCACAAAATTCATTTCAATGACTAGGGACATTCTTCATCCTTAATAACCACGTATATGTCAATATTTACATTTTTTCTGGAAAATAAAGCCCAGACAAATTATTTTCTTGGGCAGCTTTGCCTAAAATCCAACTCTTTGACTTCAAGCACATTTGAAAACCAGGGTTTTTTAACACCTGAGCTGCACGAGCACTCCAACAAAGCTCTGGGGAGATACTCACGTATCCTTTGGGAATGTCTGTGTCTTCGCTGTTGCCGGGATCGTTCTCCAGGTGCTGTTTGATTTTGTCTTCCAGGCCCACAGCATCTGCTCCCTGGTACTGGTCGATCCGCACCTTGTTCCGGAAGAACAGGAAGGTGGGCGTTGCTGAGATGTTGTTGGTGGCAGCCGTGCCCTGGGAGCAGACACCAGACTCCATTCAGTGCTTTAGGTCAGTCCCACTGCACCACTGCAGCCAACTAGCCCCACTTCTTCACGTTTGCCTTTAATTCCCACTAGCTAAACCCACCAATAAATGCACATGCTCATGTTTGCCTTTACCTCCCACAAGTGCTGTGTTCCATGGCTAAAATATTATTTTAGCAGGGGCTGGGAACCAACAAATCAATGAATAACTGCACTTTTACACTGCTCAAAGGAAGGGCAGCACAGTGGCACTGCAGGAATATTTCCTCCTAGGAGGGATTTGTTTTCCCAGTTTGGGAGAAGTCACTGTCACAGCTCCTGTGCTGCAGCAGGCACGGCGAGAGGCATGGACACTGCTGGAGCCTTTCCCAGCTCCCCATTCCCTGGTTTTCCTTTCCCATCCTGCTCAGGACACCACTGCAGCCTTTCCCTCCCTGTTCCCTGGCTCCCCAGCAGCAGGAGGCCCTGGAGCCCACACCTGGCACTGGTGCACGTCCACCTCCAGGAATGTTGCCTGAGGGTATTTGTTACTCAGAGCGCTGAAGGCGGGTGCGATCCGCAGGCAAGGGCCGCACCTGTGGGAAAAGTGACACTTCCACTTAATTCCACTTTTGGTTCCTTTTTCAGTGCCTGGCCCAAACGGAACCAGAACGTTCCTCTCTTCCTGATACCCTGCTGTAAAAACAGCCTCTCTACCTGCAGCCAGCTGGGGATACAATGCAAGGTGACATTTGGGAATCTGCAATTTATTGCCTTTATTTGCAACATTTTTACCACAGACCTGCTCAACAAAGTGTGACAAAGGAGGGCAAAATGAGCAAAAAAAATACTATTAACAAAAAACCACTATCATTAGTTCATGCCACCTCCTTGGAAAAAAATTATATTCACACATAACTTAAATGTTTAATGGTCAACATGTATCAAAGCTTCATGGATTATAAAATTGTTCCCACAATAAATCTCATTTACACCTGAACCAGTTATTCTCATATTTATTTGGTTCTGAGAGGACATAGCTGGTTTCTTTTAATTTATTTGCATTGCCTCATATGAAAATTAGTATCTTTTACTTATTCTGCGTCAGCAAAAATGTATGAAGTGCTCAGCTGCACCAATTCCTGTAAAGGGAGTTTCTCACTGGGAAAGGGAAAAGAAAAGTGAAATAAAAAACCCCGACATAGAAATTGGCAAAAAAACCCCCACAACTAAGAGGCAGCAGCCAAAAAAATAATGAGGTGCCCTATGAACCCCCAAATCCCCGGGATTATCACTATTCTCCCCAGTTTCACAGATTAAAGGGAATGATTCAGATATGTAGGTTCATTTGGTGACAAATTCATCCCGATTTCACCACAGCTGCACCTCCCTGCTGAGGACGGAAAAGAGAAAATCCACTTATCGTGGGCAAATGGGGTACGGATGCAGCCAAGTTTTATGGGGCAAAAGGTGTTTTTCCAAGTTTTAAGGTGTTTTTAGTGCTGTCCGTGCCTCGCTTCCGTCATTTTCGTGCCCTTTAAGGGGCTGTAAACCAGCGCAGCCCCTGCTCCCTCAGAGCGCCGGAGGGCTGGCGGGGCGCGGGCGGCGGGCTCGGCGGGAAGAACGGGAATTTATTCCGGGAGCTGGGAACGGGGTGCTACAAATCACACAACTTCTAAAGGCGCCGATGCCGAGACCGCCCTGACGCGTTACGGAGCGCTCCTCACGCCGCGAGCCGCGCCGGAGAACCCCAATAAAAGCACGGGAACAGCGGAGCCCTTCCCGGGAGCCTGAGCCGCACGCCGCCCTCACTCACCCCCTCATGGTGAACTTCACCACGGCCAGGCGGGAGCCGGCGGCGCTCAGCTCGGGCTGGAACTCGGTGTCGTTGGCGATCACCTTGACGCCCGCCATGGCCGCGGGCCCGGTGGCGGTGCCGGGTGCGATGTGCAGCGTCACGGCGGGCAGGCCGCCCGGCATGCACCGCTGGGGCCGCACGGGCGCAGGCGCGGCCGCTCCGCTCCGCTCCCGCCCGCCGCCGCCATCTTTGGAACGGGCAGGCCGTGAGGGCGCGACGCCCCCCGGCGGCCATTTTGGGAACGGGCAGCCCGTGAGGGCGCGACGCCCCCCGGCGGCCATTTTGGGAATGGGCAGTCCGTGAGGGCGCGACGCCCCCCGGCGGCCATTTTGGGAACGGGCAGCCCGTGAGGGCGCGACGCCCCCCGGCGGCCATTTTAGGAACAGGCAAGCGCAGGAATTCTCTGAGGCGAGATGCGCCTTTAGATTTTAACATAAAAATTTAATACTGGTTTCGTCATAAACTCGTTTTTTGGTGACGCCAAAAGGGGGAAATAAAAGATGAGTGCTTGTAATAACTACAAAATAAAACCAAAATTAAACCCGGGACTTTCTCTGACTCCATTTGCAGCGTCATTCCTGACAATTTCCCAACGTACTTTATAACACAACATCATGTCACTCCAAGCTGTCTAATATTCCCGCTTTTCCCAGCAAAGACCAGAAATACCGCCGCCATTCTGCCCCCGCCTGCTGCAATTGAAAAGCCTTGCAGCAATCGGTAATTAATTATGAATTGTCACCGCGCAATCACCCGCTCCTGGCGCGCCCTCAGCGACCCCAGCAGTTTCCACGGCGGCGGCGCCTGCCGTCAAGTGCGCCGGCCGCAGCTTTGCGCCAGTGTCGCGGGGCGCGGTGGCACCCGGCCGCTGCCGCAGCGAGCGCGGCGGGGGGACACGTGAGGGCCGGGAAGGGACCGAGACCGGGACAGGCACCGGCACCGGCACCGGCACCGGACAGGTGCGACCTGGGGCGGGGAACGGCAGGGCGAGCCCGCGCCAGGCCCCGCAGCACCCGCGCCGGCAGCGCTGAGAGGCTGCGGCACGGGAGGCGCGGGGAGCCCGGGCATCCCGGGACACACACGGGGACACCGGGACGCGCTCGTAACGGAGCAGGGTTGGGTTTGGGATCCCGGCAGGGTTCACGCAAAGCCAGCAGCAGGTTATTAATGATGGAGCTTTCCGTGCTGCTAACGGGGCCTTGGCTAAGGGAGGCTCCTGGCAGGAACTGATCCCCTTGCGGGCCTGAACACCGTTTAATGTCGATTTTGTGCTGCCTCGCCTTTCCCCGCGCCAGGCGCGGTGCTCTTGGCACCGGGATGGGTTTGGGGTGCTCCAGCTGCTGGGCATAACTGTCCTTGGTGGCAGCCTGAGCCAGGAAAAAATCGTGTGCCTTCAGCGTGCCATCAAGCGCGGCAGCAGCAGAACCTGCAAGTGCCTTCCAGAGGCGCCCGATACCTCCAGCCCCGTGTCCCAAATGAGCGTTTTGTGCCCTGCTGCCTTTGGAACCTCCTGCATACCCAGGGGAGGTGTTCCCGTTGTGTTCTCCCTCCCTCGGTGCTCCCTTTCTCCGTGCCTAAGTAATAACTGGGAAGTCTAAGCTGCCATTGCATTTAAAGTCATTAGCTTTTTCTAAAATGTACAAATAGCCCATATATTAAACTATTTAACGCTATTTAGTACTATTTCTTGGTATTTTGGGGGCAGATTATTGCAGTGTGCACACACATCCTGAGATTAATTCCTTCCTCAGTGGAAGTACAAGTGTTTGGGAAGAGTTACTGAGGTGGGCTCACTTTCGTTTCACCTCTTCCTCCAAGGGATTTGCGCTTTTGTGGCTGTAAAAGTCCATGGTGAGGATTTCTGGGTAGGGGGGATTTCTGAAAAGGGGCTTAGTTGAGTTGTGGATTCAGAATTTAATTCCTTGTACTTGAAAAATCACTTTAGTGGCTTTACTGAAATAGGAATTGATCCGGGATTATTCAGTGTGCCTAAGTCCCACCTTCAAGCAGAGCAGTCACTGGATTATTCTGTCAGGTTAACACATTATTTAACTTTTCAGTTTGTTTGTTCATTTCCTCATTTAAATAATTGCTTTCTGTTGAAATATTTTAAAAATCATGGTTTTGGGAAGGTGTTTTTTTCCACATGCCTGCATTTGTTCTGTCGCGTGTTCCCTGCATTTATTTCGTGTCTAAGATTAGAATTATTTCTGTATTATTATTATTTGGAAGGTTTTATGTTAGGAAATGTCAAGTGAAGGCAGTAAGCGCAAGGATACGTGTACATGGAATAACAGGACAGCGTGCGGTACTGTGTTTGGGAAGGAAAACCAGGGGTTTGGCACTTGTGGCTAGAGAGAAATTCCTTTCCTCCAGGGAGTACAGGAAGAGCTGTACTTGTGATCTCCATTGCCATTCCAAGTTCCCTTTTCTGTAGGAAGCAGGCTTTGGGGCGCTTGGGAGTGGCTGCAAGGCGGCAGCTGGGGTGCAGTGGTTGCCTGCCTGCTTTGGGCCCCTTGGCCACTGGGACAGCGTCGATTCGCTCCTCTACTTTGTCAGCACTGATGTCAAAAAATGGAATTATTGATTGTTTTCAGACAAAAAGGGATTTTGGTGCTGGCAGGGGCTGCACTTGGTGTTTGCTGGGGCTGAGCTCTGGAATCCAAAATCCTGGGGAATTAAAATGTGGTTTTTCCTGAAGAGGAAGTTTTTTATGAAGGCCTTGCGCTGCCACAGTCAAAGACTGGAAGGAAAAAGGTAGTTTTTCTTTCTCCTCTCTTTCCCAGGGCCTTGCTATGAAATACTCTGTATGAGAACTGTGTTTGAAGTGGGGCTGTCAGGGGGGTTGCTAATGTGATTTCTGCATGGGAAATCTGGAATCTCTTAGGATAGTTATGTGCTAATGCTCTTGTATGTTGTAGTATCCTCCTGTATGTTCCTTTTGAAAATTCCCTTTATTCAGAGCGGTGTGGGTTTGGAAGTGTTCAGGAGTGGCTTTAAATGCAGAATTGTGAAATGCAGGAATTCTGTGCCCCAGTAGGGGATTTCCTGGATTTATTAAAGAAGGCAGCTGTTTCTGACAGCTAGGTGACACAGGAACACTGTGACTTGTCCCCTGAACTGTAGGGCAGCAGAGGAGTGGGGAGGGATTTTTGTGTTGCTTTTTTGGTGGTTTTCAGCTCTGGTTGAGTCATTTGTGGTTTGTTTCCTCACAAAAATAGAGTGGGTATTTCTGTTTGCTGTGGGTGTTTTTGTTCTAGTTATTGATATTTGCATTTTGTTCTGTTGCATCTGGACACTTTATTCCTGCCTTTATTCCATTTTTATGATGATTTTCCTGCTAATCAAGCCCAGTTTAATTGTAGCTCTTTGTTTGTCACCCTGTTGTTTAAAATGCTGAATTAATTTCTCTTTCTGTGTTGTGATGGTCTAGACAGAGCAATTGATCCAGCATTGCATAACAATTAACTCTGCAGGGCCAGGTGTGGTTTGCAGTGTGGAGAAGGACTGGATTTTTGGGCTTTATTGATCCTGATCGTTACATTCGAGCTCTTAATTAAGTCGCTTTTAAGGAAGGTGGGCCAGTGGGCTTCCAGAAATGAGCTGCTTCACTGGGAGGGGTCGCTGGATGTGATATTAGTGATTTTGTGATGTGGATTTTGTGCAAACCCCCCAATTGATCCCTGCCTTGCCAGGAGCCTCCCGGGAGCTGCATGTAATCCTTAGCCATTCATTAGCCTGCCCTTGCTCCCTCCCTCTCCCCTTTTTTCCACGGACACAGCCGTGTTCCAGTTCTCTGGCTGCACTCATCACATGGCGTAACAACTCCTGTGGTTTTCCCCGGATAGGAAATGACAGGGGTTTCTGTTGGGATAGATCGGGGTGCTGGCACAGGTTGTGCAGGGAAGCTGTGGACACCCCGTCCCTGCTAGTGTCCAGGTTGGAGTGACATTTATTTTTCTGTCATAATTCAGATTTATTACCTCTAAAGTGCTGCTAAACAGGTTTACACACCAGTTAAAACTCAAGGTAGCTATTAAATAGTATATAACAGTATACAATAGTATATAGCTATTAAAAACCTCACAAAACCACACATATTTTAAAACAGTTCTCCCATGAATCCTGCCCGTTTTGTTGGTCCTCTAAACCAGAGCTCTGGTTTGAGCTGGGGTGAGTTCAGAGCATAAACGTCCACAAGATAATCCACAAGGAGTGTTTGGTTGTTAATTTAACACGACTTTTCCACCGATAAGAAACCCTCAGTTCTAAAAGCAGGGAAGTGCTCAGCAAGCTGGGAATGTTGCTACCACAAACAGAGGGTTGTTGTGGGGTTTAAATCTTGTGCAAATTCAAGTGGGTTTTATTGCCACAACTTGAATTTCCATTCCCAGTCACTGAGACCGTTTTGGCCTGGGGACAACTGAAATTCTACCGTGTTTTTTGTGTCAATACGTTCGGAAGATCCGAAATGTAAAGATAGTGCTGAACCTATTTCCTGCTGGAGAGTGGCCAGGATCCACTTTATCAGTGGATTATACAAGGCTAATTTCACCTAAGGCAGGATATTCCACATTCCAACATGACTGTCTGTGTAGCAGGGACATAACAACATCAGGGGTATAAAAACTGCCTCAGCCTCAGGCCTTAAAACATATGTAACTTCAAAATTACTCTAAAAAGAGGCATTTGGGCAAGAATCCTTGTGTGCACAGGGATGTGCTGTTTAGCCCCCACCTTTTACTCCCCTCCTTCTTGGTTTGAAGGATAATATTTTGGATTTTGGGAGACTGAAGCCTCCCCCTGCCACCCCCATAATGTAAATAAACATCATCATTGCCTCCTACCTGGGGGGCCATGTCTGTCTGTCCATCCGTCTGCTGCAGCCCATCTGCTTCATCCTGGGATCCCCCAAATGTGAGGGGAAAATGTCGGGAAACGTGAGGGGAAAAGGGCAGGAAACATGAGGGGAAAAGATAGCGAAAACATGAGGGAAAAGAAGAGGAGACATGAGGGGAAAAGATGGCAAAAAAAAATGAGGTAAAAGAGCAGGAAACATGAGGGGGAAAGATGGCAAAAACCTGAGGGGAAAAGAGAAGGAAACATGAGGGGTAAAGGTGGCAAACAT